CCCCCCCCCCTCCTGAACGCACTACTCGATATACATTTGCTTTGCATGCTCGCATCAACAGTCGCTGGGGCGTGTCAGGGGGCTGGCACTGCGCCAAGCTCAGCCCCCTGACACGCCCGAGCGCTTGCAGTGAAAGCAATTGTATGTCAAAATGTAAGATATTCATTTAGATATTAATGCTAGCTTGAAGTGGAACAGCAGCAAATGGCGTATTAATTCTTTTCGCATTTTATTATACATATTTTATGCATATATTTTCCCATTTTTTCAGCTGGCCCCGCGAATGGACAATTACACAGCTGCCAGTAACCGCATCACTCCACTTGTTTCTAATCCAGATAAGGTGAAATATGAATTTTACTAGTATACTTACCAGCCCTCATGAAGACATGTCATTGTATTGTTTTGCTCACGTAGTAGGTCACGGCATGTGACGTATGATGTTCGTAATTGGCTGTCTCAAAATAGTCACCAATCACAAGTATTACTCGCACGTGTGGCACTCAGCCGTTATTTGTAATTGTCAGTCAATTCGCAGTGAGAGAAGTAGTTATAAAGCATTGATTCAAAAAGATGACTCCTTTAAGCAGGAAACGGATGACCTGGCAAGTGTGCTTTGTTGAGAAGTTTTAATCCACCGCAGTTTTTAGGAAGAGATGGGTCAATACATTTCATTGTACAATTCTTGCTACGGGTTCTGTTATGGAACAAAAATTGCTGGAACTGGAAATACTCAGACATTTGCTGACACAATGAAATCCAAAACAATTTCAAGTACGCTTTTCTGTTTTTTTTTTACTTGCTACATCTTCCTTAGTCCTTCTTTTGGTTTTTGGCCACTTTCGTTCGTTCTGTCATACAGGATTACTTGTTTATTTCAAGGATTTCCAGTCATTTTGAAAGTGATGAGAGGCAGATCCCCTCCCTTCTCTTTTTGCTGTACGATCCCCTCCCATAATCTATCTACCACCTTGGCAAATTCTTTGCAACTTTCCAACAATTAAACCAGTTTTTCCCGAGAAATGGCATAGAACGCACGGTATGTAAGTGGCTCGGAACGGGAGAAGTCCACAATCGGAAAAACTTCCCTCGTGGCATAGAAAGATTTCCACATTGTACATTCCCATGAGGCCAGCCCCCATCCTTTGGGACGAAATACGACCCCCTGATATGATCCTCCTATTGATACTGCCCTAAACTGGGCAACATTATTGAAGGAAACTGGGCAACATTCATGAGGGACGGGACCCTCTCTGTGCATAGATATACGCAGATCCCTTGAGGTGTGCTACTTTCGCCACTTGAGCGCCAGGGGAGGGGTGGCGGAGGAGGGGGGACTGGCTGTGGTAGGAGGACAGCAGCCAGGTAGCCCGCCCAGTGCATGTATCGACGAGTGTATAACTGCTGCGCAGCTCCCAGAAACGCTCAGTGCCACGGGATTGACGTGTGAAAAATATTCAAGAAAAACAACTGACAAGAAAAAACTCAAGGGCTCACCAGTAACAGGCCGAGTTAGCAAGAGGAAAGAAGCTTGACAAC